AGAAAATAGACCTCCTTTGAATGGATAGTATTGATTAACTGATAATTTCAAACAATTCAAGAGAAGTACATCCTCCACAAGGACATTCTAGGGTATCTGTATCCATGCTTCCTGTACTTGTTATTTGTATATGAATTTATCTGTAATTTGTATATTAATGCATTATACATGCATATGAATGAATGAAGCTTTTATTGCTGTGAATAGAAGTTCTGCTCAGTGGTGGAATTCAAATTTTTTTACTACTGGTTCTGTGGGCATGGCTTCTGGGCATGGTGTGGCTTGGTGGGCGTGGCTTGGTGGGTGTGGTAGTGGGAGGATACCGCAAAATCTCCATTCCCACTCCACTCTGGGGCCAGCCAGAGGTGGTATTTGCCGGTTCTCCAAACCACTCAAAATTTCTGCTACCGGTTTTCCAGAACCTGTCAGAACCTGCTGGATTTCACCCCTGGGTCTAGGACAGTGATTCCCAATGTGGGGCCCATGCCCCACAGAGGGGCAATTTGATTTTTAATGGGGGCAATTTGAACCTTGTTTAAACCAAATTAATGGCCTTTTAGGCTTCCTCTGCATGAGTAGAGTTCACTTTTTGAGTAAAGTAAGAATTATATGTCACAGGAGGAGCATCAGGATTTTAGAGATGCTTAGGTAGGGCATGGCCAAAAAAAGGTTGGGAACCATTGGTCTAGGGCATGGTCTCTCCCATAAAAGAAGAATGCTGCTGATCAGTATGGAGTGGGAAAATCCAGCAGGATTCACTATTGTACATACCAATAATTGTCTATGAACTCCTGCAATGGGTTCTACATTTCTTCAGTTATTTTATGCAATTGTCCCATTGTTTTCAACTGACCATAGTGGACCCTTTTGAGAAATTGAAGATATATCCAATGGTAGATAATTGTAGATATTGGTAGATCAGTCTGCTGAACCTCTAATTCCCACAGTACTATTTTAGGTCTAAGTATATTTACCCATGTAGTATATCTGTAGTATTATTTTTATCCTTCTCATCTTCTCTACTACCTTCAGTTATTGGTATCATCTTTAGGATTATTATTATTCTGTTGTTTGCATGTGCACCAGAGACAAGTTCCTTGGGTGTGTAATCACATTCGGCCAAATAAAATACAGGTAGTCCTCGACTTACAACCACAATTGAGCCCCAATTTTTTTGTTGCCAAGTGAAACATTTCTTAAGTAAATTTGCCCCAGTTCATAAATAAATCACTGCAGTTGTTAATTTAGTAGCACAGTTGTTAAGTGAATGTGGCTTCCCCATTAACTTTGCTTGTAAGAAGGTCACAAAATGCGATCACCCCATGAGACTGCAATTATCATAAATATGAGTCAGTGGCCAAGCATCCAAATTTTGATCACATGACTATGGGGATACTGCAATGGTCATAAGTGTTAAAAACGGTCAAAAGTCACTTCTTTCAGTGCTGTTGGATATTCTTTACATGAATTTTGTAAGTTGAGAACTAGTTCTATAAAGTATAGGATCAGAGGTGAAATCCAGCAGGTTCTAACAGGTTCTGGAGAACTGGTAGCGGAAATTTTGAGTAGTTCGGAGAACCAGCAAATACCACCTTTGGCTGGCCCAAGAGTGGGGAGGGAATGGAGATTTTGCAGTATCCTTCCCCTGCCACAGGTAGGGAAAAAATTAGGATTTCACCCCTGTATAGGATATATCTCATGTTAAATAAAACTCTTGGGATTTTTTTAAAAAATAAAAATCCTACTCTATTCTCTCTCTGTGTGTGCGTGTACGCATATGCATGTGAATGATTGTGTGTGTGTGAAACTTGGAGGTAAATGTGGGTCATAGAGAATGTTGAAGAATAACGGCGGATATGTCTCTGAAGGCTAATCTAAATGAGAAAGACAAAAATAGACTTAATATTCCTTTTGTGCATTATTATCCTCTAAAGAGTTTAAATAATTTGTCAAAATGTTGATTCTTTAATAGTGGAGATATTAAAAAAAATACATCTTTAGTCTTAGGACCCATGATGGAATAATTGCATTTTTTCTTAATTTAGATAACTCTGCACCAACTGAGCCTAAGGCTACTTTGAAGGTTAATATGGATAAACTTTCAAAACTGAAGGTATTGGAAATGAATACATTTCAGAAATTACTGCTTCCAAAGCCATCATCAGGAAGAGAATGTGACCATTAAGATAAGATAGATGTCATTTGTTGGGAGCATGATCTTTTTCTAAAGCTCAGTAAAAAAAAAAAAAAAAAAAAAAAACACAACTAGGGAAGAGAAAATAATATATGTAACTTTAAAAATCTATAACCAGTTTTCTTTCATACTGCCTATTTCAGAGAAAAGGAGAATAGGAGATATAATACTACTAAAGTTTTCCTCCCATTAGTAGCCAGCCAGACTAATGCATGTTGATCAAGGGCAGCTTCCACACCATCTTCATGTATGACTTACTGCTGTGGTCTAACCAGGAGGTCAATTCTGGAAGAACATCTGGTGGGATTCATGTGGTGGGATTCAGCCAGTTCAGGCCAGTTCAGGCGAACTGGTAGTTAAATTGCTGGCTGGCTCCACTCCTCCCTGACCCGTCCCTTCCAGGAGTCCCCATGCACCTGATTTTGGTTCGCAGGTAAGTGCAGGGAGGCCTCCTAGGCCCAAAATGAGGTGCGGGAGGGGCCCCATCCCCCCATGGCCCATTTTTGCTCCCAGAGGATGCAGAAGGCTGAGTGCTGCCTGTCACACACCCCTGTCCACACCCACCATGGCTACGTCCACCCATCCGGTCATTAGGACAGAGAACCGGTTGTTAAATTATTTGAATCCCACCACTGCCCAAAGCTCATAACTGATAAAACAGTTGAAGCTAAACAAAGAGACTCCTGGCATGACTCCTATTTGCTGCTCAATCAGTAACTAAGAGGTCCCACAAATCATGGACCTGCCACCTTACCTAGCTCTAATGGAAGGATTGGAACTGAGTCAGACTGATCTCCTAGAAACCTTCATCTTGCAGGAATTTAATCTCAGCTTGCTTTGACCTATCCAACCCCTTGCAGCCTCCAGAATCTATATTGTTGTTATGATGGAACAACCTTTTGATTTACAATGCGGACCTAAAGAACTATTAAAGCCAAGTCATGTGATATATATCCAGGAATAAAAAGCTACTTGCTAGCTTTTCCCAACAGTTTGTGGTTTGAATTTGCTTGAGCTTTATGCTTGCGATTATTTTGTCTACAAAATTAAAATACACAGGATTGCTCATTCTTCCCATGATTAGAGATTATAGAAGAAAGCTTATTTCTCCATCCATGACCATCAATCATTGTTTAATATATAAAAAACCCAGGGTTTCTTTATTTTTTAACTGGGACCTTAAGCACAAATATAGTTTTTTGTTTATGTGGTAGGACTCTGTGATTCATAATAATTCAGGGCATTAACAAATTCATAATTCATGGTATTACCAAAACAAAAACCCTAATACTCACATACCAAATGCAAGCCTATTTAAGTAAATTTGGTTCTCAATTTGATAGAATAGATTAGAAGTTTTTTATAGGCCAAGTGTGATTGGACACACAAGGAATTTGTCTTTGGTGCATATGCTCTCAGTGTAGATAAGAAGAATAAAATACATTTGTCAAGAATCATGAGGTACACTTAATGATAGTCATAGGGTACAAATAAGCAATCAAATCATATTAGGAAACAATCAATCAATAAATTGTAAGGACACCAGCAACAAGGTTACAGTCATACACTCATAAGTGGGAGGAGATGGGTGATAGGAACGATGACAAGATTAGACTTAGTAAATAGTATGACGGTATTGAGGGAATTATTTGTTTAGCAGAGTGATGGCATTCGGGAAAAAAACTCCTTGTGTCTAGTTGTTCTGGTGTGCAGTGCTCTATAGTGTCGTTTTGAGGGTAGGAGTTGAAACAATTTATATCCAGATTGTGAGGGGTCTGTAGTTATTTTCACAGCCCTCTTTTTGACTCGTGCAGCATACAGGTCCTCAGTGGAAGGCAGGTTGGTAGCCATTGTTTTTTCTGCAGTTCTAATTATCCTCTGAAGTCTGTGTCTGCCTTGTTGGGTTGCAGAACCAAACCAGACAGTTTGATTCTTCATTACTGAAAGCAAAATGAGCAGGGGTCTATTTTCCTCTTAATAAATGTCATAATTCTAACAATGAAGTTTGATGGCTGCCTATATATTGAATGAAAAATGAAATGGATCCATCTTAAAGTAAGGAAATAGTTGCTGAAATTCATGGAATTGTAATTATATGTTTATACAATTATTTCTGGAATATTACAGTAAGTCTCAATATTCCAAAATTGTCTAGATACTTAATTCATTTATGATGTTCTTGAATAAAGTCTTTTTTTAATTTTATGCACAGTGGAAAACCTCCAGCCCTTTTAGAAAGTCCAGGTGCTTACTGAAGTGAAGAAAAAGGAATCTAGAGAATAGGGAGAAGTCAAAGAGTTAGCCTGCTCTGATATCTAACATATTAAATATTCAGTTGCCCCAAAGGAGCTTTTTCAAGAGGCAACTGGACTTTCTGATTTTTCTCTGAAGATGTTTCACTTCTCATCCAAGAAGCTTCTTCAGCTCTGATTCAATGGTGGGGAATGGAAGGATTTATACTCCTTGCAGACAACTGATTATTTGCATTCTTTTAGCAATTCTGCAACGAGTATAAATCCTTCCATTCCCCACCATCCAATCAGAGCTGAAGAAGCTTCTTGGATGAGAAATGAAATGTCTTCAAAGAAAAAACCAGAAAGTCCAGTTGCCTCTTGAAAAAGCAACTTTGAGACAACCATGACCTGGATGACTGAGAAACTCCATAGACATTAAATGTTCAGTAATGGATCAAGAGGTAGAATTCTGCTGTACAGCCAACGTTACCATTTCCCATTCCTTCTGAATGCAGTTTAAAAAGCACCCAAGATTGTAGCACATTATTTACAAAACTTTCACTTCTATTAAGGTATCAGAAGACTATGAACATCAACCTGATGACTGATGAATTCTGGAAGCTGAAGTCCATACATCTTCAATCTGTGAAGGTTGAGAAACACTGGGAGCAAACCATTTTTTCTAGCACAAGGCAGTGACACTTTGCCATTTGGGAATCCATATGGGACAAGCTGGGGAAAAAAAAACCCTTATCTCATCAGTGGGTTCATCTTACCATCAGTAGCAGGACAATATGCCTTCTTACAGGGGAAGGACAGGATGGTGCAACACTGAAATGGCTCCTAGTATCCACAAGAATTGTAACTTTTATTATAATTTCATTGTTTCAGACATTAGGAATATTCTTTATTGGCCAAATGTGATTAGAGGCACAGTGTATACACAAAGAAAAACATAGTAGTAAGTTGTAGATCATAAATCATAAAACACAATCATAAATCATAAGATTACATACAGCAAGTGATAAATCATAAGATACCAATTGGAGAAGGTAATAGGAAAGATGAGAAGGATGAGAAGGTTAAAAAGATGAGAAGGATAATAATAATACAGTCTTGCTACATGGTTAAATATCTTTAGGCATAAGACAGTGCTGAGGGTATTAGGTGTTTAGCTGAGTGACGGCATGAGGGGTCTAGTTGTTTTGGCATACAATACTAATAAATCCTTAGTGAGAGGAACAACTCTGAGGCGATGTGGAACTGCAACTGCAACGTTTATTCAATCTATTTCCAGGCATACATGGCAACAACAACTCCCGCGCTTGACAGCTCCCTTTTATAGCCCGAGCTGTCACATAATAACCAATCAGAACACAGGCAGTAACTAACTCGGCCACTAGGGACCATCGGTATAATTGAATATTCAACAAATACCCTATAGCCAATGGTGGAATTCAAATTCTTATGCTATCATTTCTGTGGGTGTGGCTTGGTGGGCATGGCAGGGAAAGGATACTGCAAAATCTCCATTCCCACCCCACTCTGGGGCCAGCCAGAGGTGGTATTTGCTGGTTCTCCGAACTACTCAAAATTTCCGCTCCCGATTCTCCAGAACCTGTCAGAACCTGCTAAATAGCACCCTTGCCTATAGCGGTGTCCTGAGGGAAGGAATTGCAACAGTTTATGTCCAGGAAGTGAGAGGTCTATAGATATTTTCTCAGATAGACTGGACTTTTGTTAGCAAGGCTCGCAGGAGAAGGAGAATGCTTTTGGAATTATTGCATTCTTAACAAAATTTCAGTAATGTACAAACTCTTCTTACACTTATGCACGCTCACAATCCGTTATGCGTATGGTGACATCTTTTAAATACAGAAAAAATATGACACATAAACAGTGACCAGTTATCAAGCAAATAACCCTCCTGCTCCTAGAATGCATGTCCTCCTTTATATGTAATAAAGCATTTGAATGCCTTCCTCCCTGCATTATTTTAATGCTGCATCTCAAGAGTTTTTCTTCCCAGTTAGGAAAGCTTTTCAAGGCTGAATGAAATCAGCAAGAATCATGGACAAAGAATCATTCTTTTAAACTGTACTAGTGTGTGTACAGGTTTTCAAAATCATGATAAATCAGGATCTAATGGGGTCAATGCAAAAGTGAGCAGCTATTGATCTTCTTTTAGAGACTGGTTAATACTGAAGAAGCTTTATATCACATATGAACTTAAAAATCACATATAATCTTCTCTCTCTGTGCGTGCACGGAAAGTTGAAATAATTTTTCTAAGAAACAAGAAGGGTAGGTTTCTCTTGGCAAAGATAAAGTGCCCCTTTCAAGATTAAACATCCAGAGTTTGCAAAGTTTTGCCAAGTTCTGCACTAAGAAGGATAGAAGTATTTTAATAAATCTTTTTAGCTCTTAAGAAGATCCTACTCAAGTTCCTACTTTAATGTGGACAATTATATAACCTTTTTTGACAATTAGTGGGTAAAACAGTTGTGTGTTAGTCTTAGTTGGCTAAGTTTGTATTTTAAAGAAGACAATTGTCATCCCAATATCTGCCATGAAACAATGTTCAAATGATGCTCCTTTTTATGAATGAGCATCAATTTTTTGAGTTATAGTTCCCGTATTCAGCTGCATCAACCGTGCTGCAATTTCCCCCAGTGTTTGGAACCACTTGGCTTCCAATCTGGAGAGGGAACTGCTGATCTCTTTTCTACAGTGAGTTGTGATTAAAATAAAAGTTGGCTTCGAGGAATGAGGAACTAAATTTTAGAAGAGCAAAAAAAACAAAACAAAAAAAAACAAAACAAAAACCATTTGTCATAAAAAAATGGGCCTTTCAATAGTTACTTCTGTCTCTCCCTTCTCAAACTTTGTGAAACCTAGAGAATATTATGGTTAATAGATTTGTAGCATGATTATGAAGCTTTACTCCAGAACAGTTTTACTTTTATTCAATAAGATTTGCCCTACACACCCCTACCCCAAGAAAGAAGATACAAAGCATCCAGTGAGAGTCAGCTCCAAATTGATTAAACAATTGCAAATAATTGGAATGAATTCTACAGATCAGGCTCATTTAGAGTAGGCTTATATAGCTTAGGAAATTTATAAATAACTATTTTATGAGATATCAATGGTTGTTATAGTGTGTTATGGAAAGTAGATCATGACACTGAATCATAATATGGTTTATCTTTTCGGGACATAGATGGTTAGGTCAGCAGTTGTTATGGCTTTATGATCCAATCCAATCCAATCCAAAGGCTTTAGCTGTTATGTGAACCAACAGATAGAAACCTATATTTTCTACTGAGTGGTTATAAAAGATGGAGTCCTCTGACATAATCTGTAGGACTCTGAGTCCACCTGGCCTGTGATGTCTTTTTATAAACTTACCCCTGTGCAAGTGGAAATAAGCAAATATTTTTGAGCTAGAATAGGACATAGAAGGATGGTTGTTGGTCTTTGGATAGTCCTTACATTTATGGATATTGTATTTTCTGTAACTTGTTCTTTTAACTTTGTGAAACCACCCAAAGTTGTATGGCTTGGGCCACCAAGAAATCTAGAAAATTTTTGGTTAGCAAGCAAAGGACACAAACAACCTTTGTTTGAGATCTTCTCTCCATCTTCTTCCGAAATCAGCTCTGAGATAACTTCCTTGCACATCTGTGCTTGGACCCTTGTTAAGCCATCTGAAATCAGGTTTCTTCAACAGAGTGGTTTTGAGTACCAACCAGCATGAACACAAAGTGAACTTGTGGTTACACTCTTTTCTAGGTTTTCCAGGAAGATGTCTTCTTAGAATTCAGAAGTGTAGATTGCTGGGAACTGGCTCTCACAGCCTGCAAAACTTTAGATTGGGTTCCCTGCTCATACCTTGCCACACTATCCAATAATCCAATAAAACAAAACAAACTATGGAGGCAACATTAGGGACACTGTAAATACCTCCCCCCCCCAAGTTTTGTCCCGCAATTTCCTTAGCCAAAAAGAAGACATCTGTGTATGTGCAGAAGCATCTTACTAATACTTCAGAAGAGGGCTGAAACTGGATGCTCTAGATATGGTCTACAACAACAACAACAATACCTTTATATCTGTGTGGTTGCTTGGAAATGATTTTTTTTTTTTTGAGTGCTCATCATGACTGAATGATTGCTTGTTTTAGCTTATTTCCAGGGTTGTTCTCAAAGTCTTTCATATTAATGAGAGAACCATTATATGATGATTGCATAGGTGGGTTTTGCATAATTTTACCACTGGTTCGCTGCACACTGAAAATGTGAGTGTGTGCGTTTTGATCACATGCGTGGCTTGCACACATGTGCGTGGCTTAGAAAATATGGCTAAATAGGTCGGCATAACACCAGGATGGGTGGGTGGAGCCACCCGTAGGTAGCCACTACCGCTTTGCTCAAACCGGTCTAAACCGGCTGAATACTACCGCTGGATGATTGCTTAAAATATAGAACTTAAAGCTCTTAAATTGCTTCAGACTATGGAGGCAACACTACCATCCCTATTGAGACACTTTAAAAGCCCTCCAAGTTTTGTCTAGCAATTTCATTAGCCAAAAGAGATATCTGTGTATGCGCAGAGGCATCTTACTAAAACTGCTAGCAAGAGGTGTAGACCAACACAAAATGAAGCAATAGGACTACTGCATTTTTAAACACAAAGGGGGCAAGCCTTTGTGAAGGGATGCTTCAAGTAAAACTTTATCAAAGTCAAGCACTGCAAAGTTTTTGCACATATTCATTTAACATTAACTACTTTATCAGCAACGGCATGATAAAAGAGAAGATGGACTGTGGAAAGGGTGGGGAGAAGAAAAAGAGCAAAAAAACCTCTTCTCTTCAGTGTTACAGCCAACGGCAACTGTTAATATAATAAAGTCATTCATCCCTGTCATCGTAACCCAAGATTAAATAGCCCTAAAACCACTGAAACAGCAATTTTGTGATTAACTTGATGGGTATTTACAGTCCTTAATGAAACATTATATAGTCATTTGAACACAGTGCTAGCATACTGCAGACTCAAGTTGTCACACAGCCAAAATCAGAATTCTACTGTATATAGATAATATTGCACAAATTTTGTTGATATGGCGTATGTGCCCTGGATGTTTTTTTCAAAAAAAATAAATAAATAGGTATGATGGAAAAGATGAACGTTTCTGGAAAAGTTCCTGCTTTTTCTAAGTCTCATTTGCTATTTCCCAATTTGAGTACAAATTCAGTTCTCTTAGTTTCTTATTCTCTCTGCCATGTCACTGATGAAGCTACGGAGGACTAATTTCAGTCCATTCTTTTTTATGGGCTGCCTTTCATGAAATTTTGGAGGCTTCCCCAAATTGGCATCCAGTTCTCTCCAGTACAGCCAATTACTAGAAAAGGGAAGAATTGGAGGAAGGCTACTATATAATAATGCAGTGGTACTGTTTCTTATGTAACCAAAATTGCTCAAGGTACACACATATGAAATGCATTACCCACTACAAATGCTGTTGAGACAGTACCACCATAGTTTCACAATAGCAAACCTTAATGTGCTCAATATCACACATGCCATGCACACAAAAGAAGGCAGCTTCTTCTCAAGAATAGCTTCATGTAAAAGTGGTGGGCTGCTCCTGATTCTGTCCAGTTCTTTAGAACTGGTAGTAAAAGTGGCAGGAGGCTCCGCCCACCCACCCAGAAGTCATAATTGACAATCTGCGCATGTGTTGTGAACCGGTAGGAAAGGTAAATAGAACCCACCCCTGTGTAAAACACATTGTAGTAATCTAGGTGAGAATTGGATTTTCCTCATGGCGGCAGCAGGCAGAGGAGGCAGAGACACAGGGGGGCGGCTGCCTTCTCTGTTGTGGCCAA